AATATAATGTTTTCTTGCTTTTGTATTATAGTTTACTAATTTGATATTTTTCACTTTTACAGTTGCAGTAATGTGAATTGGGCCAGAAGATCAGAGTGTAACATGTGCAATACTCCAAAGTATGCTAAATTAGAAGAAAGAACAGGTAAGATACAATCATATTTTAAGAAAACAATTATAAAACAGCTAAAATTTGAATTGATAATTATATTGCTTTCAAGAGCTCAGTAGTTAAAGATTTTATCCTGTCCTTACATATTTCACGTAGAATTGTTTTTCCTGTGAGGAGGGGGGCATTATTCACCTTTTTTGTTTCATAGTTTCACAATTTATAGAGTACAATGTTAGGGAGCCCTATCCAGGCAAATAATGACTCCTGGATACTTATAGAAAAGCTTTTCTTCTCGTCCCGCTCCCTGATAGTACATATTATTAGTAATAATAATATACAAATACCATTTTTCCCCATTAATTTGATATTTTGGTGTAATAGAAAGGGCAGAGGGTCATGTTTTAAAATATTCTTCTAAAGCCTAGGCAGTAATTCTCAAACTTTGATAACCATTCAGATCACCTGGGTAGCTTTTTAAAAATACAGATTCCAAAGCATAGAACTTACTGAAGTTTTCTGGGGGTAAGTCTCACGAATCTGTAGGTGATTCTCATGGTGATGGTTTTGGAAACCATTGGGCTAAAGAGTAGCTTGTCTTTGGCTGTTCGTGTTATCAGTGGTGAGATGAAAATCTTTACTTAATAGAAGATAGTTTAGTTTCCCAATATCACCTGTTAGCCCAGCAACATCTATATACCTCAGTCTGATTTTACCACTCAACTGCTCATGCATCACGTAATCTAAGATTTCTTTCTGTATACAATCTCTCTGTCAGAGCTAGATTCTAATGTTAACCATCTTCACTGTCTTTGGTGGTTCTTGTGATTCAGAGGTCCATTAAAGAATCTTGGACCTAACCCTTCCAAGACTGCAGCAGAAATTCTACTTTTTTCTTTCCTTGTCCCCCATTTCATTTTTTTAAAAAAATAACTTACTGTCACATATGAGACCATTATAGCCTAATAACCTAGATAGGCAGGTTTTCAGTCCTCAAATCCCAACCCACTTCCTCTCATTCTTAGGAGTGAGTAAGTTAGTGTCATCTTTGAAGTGTACATTGCATTCATCCCTTTTTCTCTCTCCGTTTCCATCACCACAGCCTTCATTCAGGCCATCATTTTAAACCTGTGTTGATGATTAACTGGCCTTTCTTGCTGAGCTTTTTACATTTGGCTGTGAGACAGATCTGGAAATAGTATTTTCATAATGCTTTTGTTAAAAACCTACAGAGGTTCTTAGTTACTTGTTTCATCTAAATGTGTTTGTTTTAAAGCCTTATAAAGAAACTAAAATTCCTTTACTGGTAACAAAATTGTGTTTTATATATTCGTTCATTGAAGAAATATTTATTGACTTCTTTACAAGCTTGCCTGCTAACCAAAAGGTCAGCAGTTCGAATCTGCCAGCCGCTCCTAGGAAACCCTATGGTGCAGTTGTACTCTGTCTTACAGGGTAGCTATGAGTCGGAAATCAACTTGACGGCAATGGGCTTGGTTTTTTTGTTTGTTTGTTTATGCAAGGTAGTGGAAATACTTGGGTGAGAAAAACAGGTGTAATAAAGTTATAGATTAATGAAAGTGGTATTTAAAGCTAAGGAAGCGAAAGATGAGTTACCTGAGCAACGAGTTGAGGGAAGTGCATTCCAAGCAAGAGCAAACAGCTTGTGTGAAGGTCCCGAGACTTGAAAGAATTTAGCATACTGGATGAACTAAAAGAAGGCCCATGAGTGGGCGCTAGTTAGCTCTAGCAAACACTTAACGAATAAGACAATGGTCTTGTAAATCATGGTAGGGGGTTTATATTTTATTGTAAATATACTTCGAAGTATCTGAAGGATTTTTAACAAGGGAGTGATACAGTCTAATTTCCTTTAAAAACTACTCTTAGCTGTTTTGTGGAGAAATAATTGGGGTGGGGGGGATGTAAGAATGGAAACAAGAAGACCAGTTTTTACAGTACTGCTTAAAAAGCTTTATACCAGTAGAATGAAGGAAACATGTACAGACTATGCCAGTGATTTCTCTTAACTGGTTTCTGTTATTCAGTGGAAACAAAATAAGATCTTTTTCATGATAGAGTCACTATATTTTCCAAGTATAAGGGAAACAGTTCCTCAGTTGGCTTGGTTGTATAGGTTCATACAACACTAATCATTTCTTTGTTGCCAACAGATTTTTTAGGTTCTTTTTCTGTGGCCTGTATGAGAAAATATGAAAATGACTTTGTATGCGTATGATACCCATTTTAAAGTAGTTTTACTTACATACCTGTATAAAATTTCCTGTTTGCATTACAGTTCACATTATAAATCTTGCTGTAGTTTATTCTTTAGCTCTCTCCATACTTTATTACTCACCTGCTTCTAAAACTATCTTGAACTTTTAATCTTGTTCTTCACTATTAGTCATCCATTACAATTTGTTGTTTATCAAACTTAACACCTTAATTTCAGCATTTACTTATATAAGATTAAATATATTGATGGACAAGATTAAATATATCAAGGGGGAAGAAGCTATATTGAGGTATAACTTTCTAGTGTTTGTAATCCACAATTAACATTGAATATGAGTTATTCTCTTGAGGTGAACATGTACCTATTTGTGTGCTTCTGTCTATCAATAGCTTTTCTTTTTGTTTCAGGCTATCTTATTATGTTTGATGTTTTGAAGAACTAAAGCAAAGATGTTGCTAAGTAAAAGTTGTTATTATGTATTGCATATAGTTTTTACCCACATGTGGTATGCCCAAAAACAAAAGGAATTGCTTGCAGATTATGATTAGAGTGGTAATTGTCTCTTAAACATGGTAGGAGGGGGAGGAAAGGGATGATATGCAAGTATTCCAGGGATAAACACTGATCCATTGCAGTTTACACTGGTGCAGAGTATAATGAAGAAAAAAAAAGAGGTTATATTGTGAGTTTGAGAGATATGTCCTTTCTACTATTTTTTTGTGTGTGACCCTGTTAGGGAGCGATGGTGAGGTAAGTGATTGTTTTTTAGTGTCTGTGATTAGTGGATTTAAAGGTGGAAATCCTAAATATCTTCTAGTTACTTTTTTGTTTATATACTTAACATTTTTCTGTCCATAAATTGAGAATCATTTGCCTCGTGTCGGTATTGCTTTGGAATATGTAAGGCATTTACCGTGTTAACCCTTAACCACACACCTGTATTTTTTTCAGTGGGATACTTTTTCAAAGTCTCTCACTTCACTTTCTCTGAAACTAACTTTTCTTGTTCCAACCTTTTTTAATCCCTGTGTCAGCGGGCTTAACTTGTGGCATGAAACAATGGCTTGCTGATCTTCACAACAGTAGAAATTTTTTGATTGGAATTCTACTGGCTACTTCAGAGGACTTGAGTGATTTTTAACTATGTAGTAATAAAAACAGTCCCACTAAAACCAGTTTAGATGGTTTTTATCATGTTATTACATTTACCTTTGTAATTAGGAATTTTCTGGACTCTAGCTAGTAACTCACTAAATTTTAGCATGGCACAAGATTTCAGTATACCAAAAGATTTTAAGGAACTATCTGCAACTAATAAACAATGAAATTTGATTCTTATTGAGTCTACTCTGCCTAGAAGAATTACGATAGACGATAAAGTTCTTTTAAAACTTAGTCATAGCAGAGGTTTGAGGAGATGTTTCTCACCTGTATAATCTATGAATTGCCTAGATCACATTGGACATTTTCAAAATTGAGAAGAGGTACAAAGCCACAGGGTTTTTCCAGCTAAGATACATAACTTTAAAAGTTTCTCTGTAGTGATTTTTTTTAAAAAAATATGCTCTTTTAAAGACTAGTAATTGATTAGATAGCTAAACAGCCGTCATTGTTAAGATTTTCTTATTTATTGCTTGGAGATGATTTGGACATAATTTTGTTATTTAAATAAATTGTTACAGGATAACAATTTAGCCCTCTTTTTTAGGATATGGTGGTGGTTTTAATGAAAGAGAAAATGTTGAGTATATAGAAAGAGAAGAATCTGATGGTGAATATGATGAGGTAAGTTATATATCAGTTTGCGGGTTGAATACAAATTGGAAAAACATGTTAGAAATTACCTTAAATTCATAGAAAAATTTTAAATGTATTTTATTTTTGTAAGTACAATTTGAGTCTTTTGCAGCAATTTACCATTTTGCAGGAAATCATGATATTTGACATATAAAAATAATTCCTTGAAAAAATATTTTTGGCTGATAGGAATTTTATGAAATTTTTTTCCTAGTTTGGACGTAAAAAGAAAAAATATAGAGGGAAGGCAGTTGGTCCTGCATCTATTTTAAAGGAAGTTGAAGATAAAGAATCAGAGGGAGAAGAAGAGGATGAGGATGAAGATCTTTCTAAATATAAATTAGATGAGGTAAACAATTTCCTTGTCCTATTCCCCCTTATTTGAATTATGATACAGCATTTGAATGCTTTTGATAGTCTTTGGCCTTTTGTGAAGATATGTTCTATGTATTCATTGTCACAAAGGTGCCACAGAGTTCCCACTCTCTGCCCAGCACTATTCTGGTTCTGGAGATGAGTAGTGACAAAGACACAACCTCCTTTCTCTTATGGAACTTAAATTCTATAGGGGGAGAGACAAATTAGCAAGATAATGTAGATAACAGTAAATGTTAGTAACGTACATGGTGTGATAACAGATAATTAGAAAAACTACTTTGGTTTTAGTGGACTAAGTATAGAATGGAGTCCCTGGGTGGTACAAACAGTATCAGCTGCTGATCGAAAGTTTCAAGGTTTGAGTCCACCCAAAGGTGCCTTGGAAGAAAGGTCTGGTGATCTACTGCCAAAAAATCAGCCTTCGAAAACCCTGTGGAGCACAGTTGTATTCTGACGTCACCAGTGAGTTGGAATCAACCTGACTGGAACGGGAAAGTAAAGAACAAGCCACAAACATTCAAGCAGTCAGATATAGTTCAGTGTGGTTAGAGCAAAGAAGAGGTTAAGATGAGGGAGACAACCATATAATTAGATCTGGTGGTGTTCTGTGGGGCTAGAGTATATGTTTTATGGGGGGATGTGTAGTACAGTCAGATTAAGGGTACTTTGGAGTCTGATCCTAAGAGGCCTTTGACTGCAGCTAAGTAAATCAGTGTGGAACAATTTTTAAAACTTTTAAAGGAATAAGTGGGATATTTTATTTGACTTATGTTTCAGGGTAATGATTGAGGTAGTATATTAAGGAGAGATTAGAGAGGCAGAATAGATTTCCAGAGTTATAGAGAACAATTTAAGAGGTTACTGTAATACAAGAGATTTATAAAAGTCATGAGGTCTCTGCTAGGACTAAGGGAGATGGATTCAGGACTTTTAAGGGAGGTAGAATTAAAATTGTTGACAGGGTTATTGGTGATTTCTCTGCATAGAGACGTCTAGTACACAGAACTATTCATCTTAGTAGTTAACATCAATATCTAAATGTCTATATTTGACTCCGAATTTTTGTTAGGATGAGGATGAAGATGATGCTGATCTCTCAAAATATAATCTTGATGCCAGTGAAGAAGAAGATAGTAATAAAAAGAAATCCAATAGACGAAGTCGCTCAAAGTCTCGATCTTCACATTCACGATCTTCATCACGCTCATCCTCCCCCTCAAGTTCAAGGTCTAGGTCCAGGTAAACGGGTACAGGTCAAGGGTAACACCAGTCAAAATGTCAGTATCTAACTTCTTTATCATTTTTTTCTTGACTGAATAAATTTTACTTTTTATTTTAAGGATTTCATTCAAGTCACCTTCTGGAAGATAATTTTTTCATCTTATTACCATGGTGTTATTGTCCAGTATTTTCAGAAATGAAAAATTTTAATATGAGACATCCTTAGCCCATGTTAGCACTGTGCTTTTTATTAAAGTAGATTTTAAATGTACAATTAAACCATTCTATGAGTGATGCTTAGTTTTCTAAGTAAGTGAAGATTTATATTTTCATTCATGATTAAGGCTAGTGTATAACTTTTTAAAGCATTAATGAAATCGTGTATTATAAAATGTTATAATAATTTATTTGGGCTTCAGTATTCTCAGTTAAAGAGCAGATTCAGCTGTATTAGTTCTATTAGCCTAATTCATAATTTTGAGATGTCCAGGAATAAATTAAAAGACCTAATTGGTGTTGTACTTGAATGTTCTTTAGTATTGTAAGTTTTTAATAGATACTTCATGATTTCATAGTCAAGAATAGAAGTAGCATTTTAAGGGGGAAAAGCAGTACCTTAAATAAACAGTGTTCATTCGAAGAAGCCCTATTCATAGTTAAGTGATACTATAGGTAATGAATTGATACTTAGGAATGAAATATTAGCTGACTGAGTTCTTACTGATAATTGTTGAGTGCTTTATAGCCTGACAGCTTAAAAGAAAAAGTGATTTTTCATAAAGGTAATATTTTTAAGATAAATATGTAATGATCTTTTTCTACAGGTTATTTTAAGGAACATATTAAACGAGTGGATTAGATTAATAAGTGAACTTCATTTGTGATTTTTTAGAATAAAAATGAACCACGTCTCCCTTTGTCTTATAGTTTTCAAAAATATAATTACCTAAAACAGTGAAAGTATTTTTATACATTTTCCTTTTAAATTCTTAAGCTTTGAAGACAGAAAAACAGGGATCAAACAAATATAAACATTTACAGCTTCATACTAGCTAGAAAGTAGGACATAGGGGGTTTACAAGGAAAATTGGTAGAGACATTTCAGAGAAGTTAACTGTAAATTGCAACATTTTAGTTTTTCTAGATGTATTCTGAGTGACTTATTATTTGTGAAAATGAAATATTGTATGTCCTTTAAAGTGCTAATGTTGAGTGTTTTCATATTATGTATAATCCTGTGATGTTTAGCATAATTTAATCAAACATGGAAAATAATAGTTGATTTTTTTAAATTACCTTAAGTTCTGATACACATATTAAAACAGAAAATGTTTATTTGCTTTAAAACATTCTTTTGAGAATATATATTTTAAATAGTAATCTTTTTACATGAAAATGAACTCTAATGCATATCTTTCTTTCAGTGTTCATATCACAAAGCTCAAGTAAGTGGTCCTGGGGAAAAAAAAAAAAATCCTTCCATGTTGTTCCAGGTCCCGTTCAAGAAGTTCTTCCAGTTCGCAGTCAAGATCTCGTTCCAGTTCCAGAGAACATTCGAGATCTCGTGGGTCGAAATCAAGGTGAATGAGGTAGCATCTCTCTGTAAAGCAGAGAGAAAAAGTATTTAAAGGCTGCAGAAGGCGTTGCTGCTTTTTTTTTTCCTTATGTTGCTTCTACTTGTCAATTTTATTTTAGCATTAGATAACTAATGCACTTGCCTCGGCTTAATTTTCTCACCATGAAATGTTTCCATTGCCAGCAGTGTTCCAAGACATTCCCATGATTGAATTAAGGTAGCTATTTTGAATTATGCAGGGTTTGTTATTTTGGTCTAAGATGTGATGAAGTAGAAAGATGGAGCCAAGTCTTAGCTACAAATTTGTAGTATATTAAGGTTATGTTTGCAGTTGTAGTTGAAATGAAATTAGATAATGCAAATAAGAACATTTAATCCATTAAAAGGAAGGAGAAAAACCCTGCATCAAAGCAGGTTTTGTTTTGTAAGGCAGTTGTTTCAATACTTACAGAAACAACTTTGCCATTTATGTTAGATAGATCTTCTTAGGGAAGACTGTACATATTTTAATTTCTCTTTAATTTTACACAGAATATTCTGAACAGTAGAGGTAGGACAGCACCCATCTTAAATTCCAGAAACTGAATCAAGTATGGTTGGTTAGTCTGGTGTAGAATATGGTCTTAAGTGTTGTTGCTCACTTTCAGCATGCATTTAGTCAGACTTACTGTTGTGTGGCATTGAGTCAGTTCCGACTCAGTGACCATATAACAGTATAACTGCCCCATAAGGTTTCCTAGGTTGTAATCTTTATGATAGTGGATCTCCAGGTCTTTTCACCTGAAGAGCTGCTGGTGGGCTCAGACTTATGACCTTTTGGATAGCAGCCGAGTGCTTATCCATTGTGCCACCAGGGCTCCTTAGACCTATAGAAGGAAACATAGTTTGTAAAGAAAAAAATGAAACACTGATTTTTACTCTCTATTGAGGTTTTTCTGAACGTAGTCAAAATATGCTGCCTTTGTTTTAAGTTAATTTATTGATGATCTACTGAAGACATCTAAGATAAATAAGAAAACCACTAAAATTTCACTTGTGGAAATTCACACTGAAGTTTATTGGTGTGTCTTTTGGTAAAAATAATTGTTTACTGACTGTCCTAGTTTATCTAGTGCTGCTATACAGAAATACCACAAGTGGATGGCTGTAACAAACAGAAACTTACTGTCTCACACAGTTCAGGAGGCTAGAAATCCACATTCAGGGTACCCACTCTAGGGGAAGGCTTTCTCTCTCTGTAGGCTCTGGAGGAAGGTCCTTGTCTCTTCTGAGTTTCTCCTTCTGGGTGATCTTCATGTAACTTGGCATCTGTCTTCTCCCTATCTATGCTTCCTTGATCTGCTCCCAAATGGGTTTATAACTACAGGCATTGAGGTTAGGATTTACAACACATATTTTTGGGGACACAATTCAATTCATAACATTTGACACTTTGGCACCCTAATTCATGTCCTTGCCACATGTAAAACACATTCACCCCATCACGTCATCCCCAGAGTCTTCACTCCAAGTTCAGAATCTCATCTTCTGAGTCATCTAATTTAGGCATATTCCATCCTGAGGCAAAATTCTTCTTCATCTCTGAACATTTGAAATCTAGACTCCAAGTTACCTGTTTCCAAAGTACAGTAGTGGATCAGGCACAAGGTAGACATTTCCATTATAAATGGGAAAAATCAGAGGGAAAGAACGGATAACAGGCACTAAGCAAGTCCAAAACCCAGAACAATTTACATTAGCTTTCAAGGCTTGAAAATAATCCTGTTCTCTGAGATCATCTAAGCAATGGCCCTGCTCTCCATACTGTATGTGTTGGCCATGCCACGTGGATTCTGGGTGGTGGCCCTTCAGCCCTGGACTTCATCTCCACCTTCCAGGCCCACTGGGATGGCAGCTCGGCTCCCTTGGCTTTGGGCAGCCCCATTCTCCTAATTCTGTGAGTGGTGACCTTGGCCTGGGCGGGCCCCATTCTTTTGCCCCTTGGGCATGGTCCCCCCCCCCCCATCCCTCATATTTAGGCATTGGCTGCATCCTCTTGGCCAAACTGAATGGAACTGAGTTGGTGAAGATGGGACTCTTTGAAACCTAGCAGGCCACGGCTTTACCCTGTGACATCTGAGAGGCTGTGGCCTCAACCTTTGAAACCGAGGCAGCTCTGCTTCTTGTGCTCCTTCCAGTCCTTCCAACAGTTCTCCTAGTCTCTGAGCTGCTCCGAGGATGGTTCTTTTTTTTTTTTGAGGATGGTTCTTTTTTTTTTTTTTTGAAAGACAACAGATGTAGCTCCATTGTCCTGTTTCCTGTCTGTAGAATTCGAAGAGGCAGAGAGCTTTCTCTCCTATTCTTTCTCTGTCCCTTTCAGTCTAAACTGATGGGTTTTCTGCTGTGGTGGTTGGCTAGATCCGTTAGTCACAGGCTTAATCTCTTTAACAAAAGATTGTGTAGCCACATCCTTGGTGAAAATTCTAGGACGCGTGTCCTTAGTTTGTACAAAAGAATTTTCCATATCTTTGAAGTTTTGTTTTCATTTTGCAACAGTTCATTTTTAAGTCCATTTCTTTGCTCTTGCATTGCCATGTTGTAGGTATTTGTTAGAGTAGCACCCCTATTTCTCAGTACCAACTTCTGTCCAAGTTATGTAGTGCTGCTATAACAAATACCACAAGTAGATGGCTTTAATAAAAAAATTTATTTTCTCACAGTTCGGAGGCTAGAAGTCTGAATTCAGGGTGCTGGCTCTAGAGGGAAGGCTTTCTCTGTCTGTAGGCTCTGGAGGAAGGTTCTTGTCTCTTTCGAGCTTCTCCTCCTGGGTGATCTTCACGTGGCTTGTGATCTATCTTCTCACCATCTCTGCTTCCTTTTATATTTTGTAAGAGATTGACTCAAGACACACCCTACACTAATCCTGCCTCATTAACATAACAATGACAACCATTCCCAAATGTGAATTATAACCAGAGGCATAGAGGTTAGCATTTACAACACATTTTTGGGGGACACAGTTCAATCCATAACATTGACTTATTAAAGTCAAATCTTTTTAGTATTAGAGGGCAACTGAAATTTAACAACATTAAGGAGAAAGGAGTGATACGCACACTTGTATTAAGCTAATACAAAAAAGAAGGCAAATATGGTTATTTTAATGATGTATTATCAATGTTTTAGTCATTTTATTTTAGTGCTGCTTAAGTAGATGATGGTCCTTAAGCTCTAGTATTTCCTTTAGGAAGCACTGTGATTAAGGTTTACAGGAGAGCCTTCATATTCTTCCCAAACATATTTTCATTGCTTATAACTTTCCAAAGAATTCTCCTTTTGGGCTTTCTGATTTTATTTTAAGCCCAAAGGCGAATTTTTTGGGAAGTTTGAGCTAAATTCCATCAACCAAAATATGTAAATGAAGAAGAGAAATTTTTGCATTTAAACATTTGCACATTTATTTCTGTATGAAACATGTGAATGTCAACACTTCATATTTCATGAATAGTGGTCCTTCATAAAAATAAGTATTGTAAATATAAATTATAAAGTTACGCTTTTTTTCTTTGAATATTTAGCAATTTAGTACAGTTAATTATTCTTTCTCTCTTCTGTCCCTTATCCCTGCTTTTTCTGTAGCAGCTTAAGTAATGAGTTTCATAATTTCACATGGAATTGTTACGCTTATTTTCTGCAAGAAGTTGTATTTAAGTTACATATTTTTCCCCAAAGTGGAAGAATGTACTTTCTAAACATAAAAGTTTTTGGTTTTTCTATTTGTGTATAAGTTTAAATTAAAGACGTTAAATTAAAAAAAAAAATTAAAATTCTATTTTTATACACTACGCTGGTTTTCAGTTACACATGATGAAGACTTAGAATTTTAAAAAGAGATGAAATTAAAATAGTTGTATTTAAGTAGAATGTTTCATGGTTGAACCAGAAGTCTTCTGTTGAATAAGCAGTAAGTATTTTTTATAAAATTTTCATAGTAGTTATAAATTCTATTTCAATATTTTTGGAGCTATCTGTTAACTGAACAGTCTGCTTCATTTCTTTATTTAATGAAATGTTTGATTTGTTTCTCAATCAATGAAGATCCAGCTCCAGGTCCCACAGGGGCTCTTCTTCCCCACGAAAAAGATCTTATTCAAGTTCGTCATCTTCTCCTGAGAGGAACAGAAAGAGAAGTCGTTCTAGATCTTCTTCATCTGGTGATCGCAAAAAAAGACGAACAAGATCACGGTCACCCGAAAGGTTTGGGTTTCTGTAGAAATAAGAGTGGGTGTTCTTAAGTGTGTTTAGTAGATTAACTAAACTTTCTGGTAAAGGGGTTAGTTTTCATTATCTTCTTTGTTCCAACTCTAAAATGTACTTTTGACCTTTGTACTTCTAAACACAGACTAATTTCTATGTTTATTGTGTGTGCTTTGATCAGGTTGTTTAGAAAATTTGTAGATCAAACCAGTCTCTTCAACTATCTGATAATTTTTTTAAGTCCTTATTTCCATATATAATTATTATAGCCAACTCTCGGTTATTTCTGTCTTTTAAGATCTTAATTCAGAAACTATGTTAAAGTAACTTAGAGGTTGATTTTTATATGTATAAATTTATATTATTATTTTTTCAATAATTAGAAATCATAGAAATTCTAGGGCATCTAATAAAAATCAAACTGTTTAGCATTATTGGGAATCTATGCTTATTTAGATATGTGCAAATACATTTCCTTGGCATATTATTTAATGCCCTTTATAAGGAAATTGTCCCTTGTATCTGATACATTTCTCCTCTTGAGGTCCAGATCTATTTTTCAGATAAAGACCTTTATTAAGCCACTTTATACGCATTGGCATTTTTAAAATCTCAAGAGTGCAATTGTCATCTGTCAGCCTTCTCTGCAATGGGCTAATTAATTACTCAGTTTCATTAACTTTCTCATGGTTCTTAATGTCTAATCATGTAGTCATTTTAATGACTTCATCTGTAATGTTTACAAATTTTTCCATATCTATCTAGTTTGTGAAAATAAGGACTAGATAAAGTCTGATTTTTGCTGGGTCTAGTGGTAGGAGAACGTTATGATTCCTGTTTGTATAGAACAATTAGTTTTGTTCCCTTACATTCATTTTGAAACTTAAATACTAAGATACAGCTATTCTTGGTTTTGTACTTTTGTTTTTCTTTGTAAGAAAATTACTCTGTGCTTGAGTGAACTTCATTCTGTTGCTTTCTGACAACTTCTGCAAATTTTTATCTTAGCCACATATAATCCACCCAGTTTGTTGTCATCTAAACTTAATGAACATGTTCTCTATTCCATAAGCCAGGTGATTGGTGAAAACACTAAACAACCCTGAGCCCAGGGCCAACCCCTGCGGAACACCACTACTTTTCCCAGGTTGATATTGACTTATTCATACTAGCTGCATGAATATAAACTTATAACTAATTGTACAGTCATCTTGTGTGATCTGGATTTTCATATTTTAATTATTTATGAATATATTCTCATACACAGAAGCCTTGCTGTATCTGTTTTACATATAGACTTACCACACTTTCTACAGTGTATCACAGAGATTGGTTTAATCACACGTCCATTACCAAGTTTATATGTCTTTTTAGTACATACTAATTTTATACATTTTTGCAAGGCTTTCTCCTTCATTATCTTAAATAATTGAGAGGTGGCTATATTTTGAAATGAAAAGATATTTTTTAAATTATAGAGAATTTTAAATTATGCTTATACTATTACTGGGCTCACATCTAAACATCAGATAACTTTATGTGTCTAAGTTTATTTCTTAGTGATTCCCTTTGGCAGCATCAGGGTGTTCCGTTTTTTATATTCTCGCAGTTTTATGAATGTATACTCAAATTTAGCTCCAGCTTACTACTTGCATGCTTTCTGCATTATGTCTTGCAGGCACCACAGGTCATCTTCTGGATCGTCTCATTCTGGTTCCCGTTCAAGTTCAAAAAAGAAATAATGTATTAAAATTTAAATCTTAAAAAAAAAAAAACAGTACAGTGCATGAAGCATATTTTTTAAGAAGTTGATGTCTTACTTGGTCAGAAGTGCTAAGTCTGCTAGTATAGGTGCATGCCTTTCATTGCTTTTCAGAACAATACAGCTGTGTTTATTTGTGAAATTAAAAGTAAACAGCATTTTAAGCCATAATGTCCCAAAATAGATGCTATATTTAGCATTCATTATTTGAAACCATTTGCTTTATTTACAACTGTCTCAGCTGTAATGAAGTACTTTGTTTCCTAATTTGAGCTGTTTTGTTTCCAAGTATGTCTGGTCTGTTGACTAAGACAGAATTACTAGGCTTGCCTGAACTTTGGACATGGAGGCAGGGACTGGTAAACTAGTTGGAAACAGGCTGTTTATGTTAACCTGGGAAAAGAAGTTAACCTGTTTATGTTAACTTATGTCTAAGTGACTCTTAGAAAAGAATATAAGCTAAATCGCAAAACAGCCAGCCAGAAACGTCTTCATTTTGAAATTCCCTATGTTAAGGATTCCTTAGAATCAGTCTCTTTTATTCACTTTTAGTTTTTGTGCCACCAAATTTAATGTAAAAGTATCTTGTGAATTGTAAAAGGAGAAAGTCATTACTCACTTCTCTCTTACTGACAATTTTGGGCAAGAAGGAAACAGTCCAACAATTCATCTCTTCTCTATTGATATGGTTGGCTGATGAGAAAAAAAAAATGAAATGTTTATCTTAATATTTTAAGAACTTTTGTGTGGTAGCCTTCAAAAATCTAGTAGTCACATGTGATGGGGTAAAAAAGCTATATCATAGTTGTTAATGAAGAGCAAATTGAAGAAAGCTGAAGTGTATTTGTCTTTGGGTGAAAAGCCAGCAGAGACATTGTGAATTTAAATGAATATTTGCCTTGAGATGTTAAACTTTAAACACACTGCGTAAAATTTTCTTCTGAAGTGTAAGTGGATGCTTGTTTCTACATGATGTAAGCAGAAATCATTATTGTCCTCATTCACTTAAAGTTACTTATGGCTTAAAATGCTTTCAGAGTTTGTTTTATTTCTCAAAATTAAAATCTGGCCACTTCAGCTCCATTTTGTCTTTGGTTTAAAAATAAAAAGGTTTCTCTTGACAGTATCTTCAGTGAAAATGCAAGGTAAGTATATTAAGGGAAGTCAACAAACAATCTGTGCTTGGGGGCTTTTTGTCATGGGTTATTGATTTTCTTTTTTTCTTTTTTCCCTTAACACTGATGTCTACTGCAGTTTAAATGAAAATTAAAACATTTTTAGGATATCTAGTAGACAGTCTGGACAAAATTCTGTTTTTTATTTTAAAATGAGTGTTTTTCTCAACTGATCTAAATATATGAAAGCATAGTATCTTGCGTAGAACTATTTTAATAGTATTTTTACAATAAAGTTCCCCAGATTTTTTTATGCCTTACTTTCTTTGCTACATTTACTGTAGGTTGCACAGGAACTTTTACTCTTCTTGTAATTGTGCCTCAGACTTTTTGAAAGTCCGCCTTCTGAATTGTCCAGTTCAGATGATCTTCTAGATACTATATGGTTTATTCTTGTGCTTTCTGTATTTAAAACTTTGGCTGTACTAAGCATTTGCAAGGTTATAAATTTAGCTAATAGTAGTTAACAGATAATTCAGATGATTATGATTTCATTTGGTTTAACTAAAACTGTACTAGTTCATTTCATAAGGAAATGATGCTGTAGACAAATGTAAATAAAGCCTGTGAGTCAAGCATCAAGTGGTGTTTGTTAAAAATAAACCAGAGATTTTTAAGCTCTGATCTAATGTTCAAATCACAGTGTTGTTTGTTACCTTCAATTGTGCATTTTAAACAGTTTCTGTTCACTTATCCTTTATCTAATGTTACCTTATTTCTATATATCAATGCTTGGTTTAAAACTTTCCAAAACCATCATCACTGCAAACACAGATACTCAGAATTTTGAGTTGTGATTTTTTTTTTAGTAACACCAGGATTAGCTGAATGCTTTTTATCAGAACTTTACATACCTTATTCATGTGATAAAGTGGCAGCATATCAAAGTGTGCTTCCTGAATTATTTTTTTTTTAGCTAGTTACGGTTTTTGCTTAGTTGTTGAGAATATACACAGCAAAACACACACCAATTCAACTGTTTCTACATGTACAGTTCAGTGACATTGATTACATTCTTCGAGTTGTGCAACCATTCTCACCCTGTTTTTCTAAGTTGTTCCTCTCCCATTAACATAGACTCAACTGCCCTCTAAGGTTCCTATCTAGTCTTTCGAGTTGCTGTTGTTACTTTGATCCCGTATAGATCTTAAAAGAGCATAATGCTCAAGGCAGACATATTTTACAAGTTAAGCTATTGTTTGACTTCAAGGGATATTTTGGGTTTAAGTTTTAAAGATTATCTCAGGGCGGTAGTTTCAGGGGCTTATAAAAAGACAAGAAAAGGTGAATATATAGAGACCAAAGCTTATTAGTGGTTACTTGAGGGGAAAGGGGGTTAACAGTGATGCAGTGATAGAAAAATTGTATTGATTAAGTGTAGGATTGCACAGCTGATTATTGTAGTTACTGTCAATAAGTTGTACACGTGTAAGAAGTTGAACTGGCAAAAGTTGTTTGATACATATACAGCAACTGCCAAAAAAGAATAGCTGCTGATGCTGCTTATGTACAACCAAAAACCTTATGGAATTTGATTCCTTGGTCTAGAGGTTTAGGGTCATGGTTTCCTGGGACATCCCAGTTAATTGGCCTAATAATGTGTTTGGTGCTTCTGTCCTGCCTCCTAGTTCTGTCCTACGTCCTAGTTTGATGCGTAGTTCCTGGCATCTTAAAAGCTTACGAGCGCCCTTCCAAGGCAAGACAATTGGTCTCTATTCACCTGAAGCAACAGAGGAAGGAGGAGAATCAGGAATAGGAGGACATGGAATGTGTGTCTGATTGCTTCCATTAACAACAGCTTCCTGAATTATTCTTAACCATCACTTCAGAGCACTCATCTGCTGTCCTTTTAACTGCTAAGTCTTAAGTTTCCATTTGAAATCTTTTCATCTAAACAATAATGAGTGATTCTAGTAATAAATGTCCAAGTTCAGAGCAAGCTGTACATGGAAGACAATCTCTAGGCAGAATTATGAAGGTAAAGTGGGTCTTTGTTTCCCATATACCCTTCATGCTCTAGTATCCACAACCAGTGTTACGAATATTGGTAAGAAGATGGGGAATTTTTTCATTCTACCCCCTATTTTTTATATCATTGTTAAGATTTTTTTAAAAATAAAAATACCCTCATAACTTTCCTGACCTAGAAATTGTATTATTTCTAGAAAATAGACAGTTTTAGTTAAAAGACAGTTTAAGGTATACAGTAGCTGATTTACAGGCATTATCTAATTCTCCTAGTCATTGTATATCCCATTTTACAAAAAGAAGTGTTAAAATTAAGAAATTAGGAATTTGCTCAAAGAAGCCACAGAGGTGTTTAAGTGGGATTTTATCCCCACATCTCCAAGTCTGATCTCAGATTACAGCATTACCTCTAATAACAATCTCTTTGAAAAGGTAAATGTGAAATCCTTAAGTGGAAATAGCTTTTTTTAATCTAGCAATTTGGTAGAGGAAGAATTTTAGTTATTTATAGATTAGATACATGCATATGTATGTATATGTGTAAATCTAATTTTTGAAATAATTATGTATAGAAAGATTGCAGAGATTATACAGAGCTTTCCCGTAGATCCCTCACTCAGTTTCCCCTATTAACTCTAATGCTACCATGGTATATTTGTCAAAACTATGAAACCAGCATTGGTACATTACTTCAGATTTTATTTGAACTTCATCAGTTTTTACATTAACACTTTCTGTCCTAGGATCCAGTCCAGGGTACAACATTGTATTTAGTTATCACAGCAACCCAGTCTCCTCTGATCTGTGGCAGTCTCATTTTTTGTTTTTCATGACCTTAACATTCTTAAGGAGTACTGACCAGTAATCCTGTACAGTGTTTCCACATCTGGATTTGTCTTTTGTTTTTGATTAGACTGGAGATACAGGTTTTGGGAAAGATTGACTACCACAAACGTGAAGTTCCCTTATCACATCATCATCAGGGGTGCGTAATATCCACATGACATCACTAATGATGTTAATAATGTAGTGTTTGCGTAGATTCACCACTGTGAAGTTTTTTTTTTCCTTTAACCACAGTTCTTTAAAAACCAGTTACTAAGTGTAGCCCCTCCTCAAGGTGGGGATAACAAAACCAAATCCGTTACCATCAAGTCGATTCCGACTCATAGTGACCCTATAGGACAGAGTAGAACTGCCCCATAGAGTTTCCAAGGAGTACCTGGTGGATTTGAACTGTGGACCTTTTGGTTAGCAGTTGTAGCTCTTAACCACTATGCTACCAGAGTTTCCAAGGTGGGGATAGGTGGGCTTAAATTCTACCTCCAGTAGGGAGGAGTATCTTACACACAGTATTTGGATTTCTTTCATAAGCTAGTTTTGTGTCTGTATTGATGTGTCTATGGACTCGTGTATATTTGTTTCACATATTTTTACAGTAATGCCTGGCACTTAGGTGTACAGCAAATACTGGCTATTTCTGCTCTCTACCCATGTCTTCAAATATTTCATATACACTAATCTTAGATGTTTATTTCCTACTTACTCTTTCCAGAACACCAGATCCATGTATCTAACTGCCACCTGTGTATTTTCTTTTAAATGTCAAACAGGCCATTTCTCCATGGCTAAAATTCTCCACCAAAACGAGCATTTCACAGTATTTCACATTGATAAATAGCATTATCGGTAACTTGGAAATCTTTTCAAATTTTCCTTTTGCCTACTCACTCTAAATCTAATTTACCTAAAATTGATAGTTCTCTTCACCTTCAAATCCACACAACTCCATTAACACTGCCACTGCTTTAGTTAATAGATGATAACTGCGGTAGCCTCAGTGGTCACTGGGCTCTAATCTTTTCTGGCATACAGTAGGTTTTCAGAAGTATTTAGTAAGAATTTGTTTCTTGAGGCGATGATGTCAGAATGGTCTTTTTAACAAGCAGTTCTACTTATGTAATTGTTAAAAACCTTTCAGTTCCTTCCTGTGGCTTACATATAAAACCTTGATTTTTTTTAAGTACTTATTCGACCCTATCCCACCCCCCTAGGTTTCCATGCATACATACCTTATACGCTGGCCACGTTAGCCGTACTGAACTTGTGTTAGGTCTTCATCTTTATACAAGTTTCCTGGAATGCCCTGCAAGCACCCCCCACTACCATCCCTTTCCTCCCGCTCATCATTCGTAACTAGTTCAGAACCCCCATCCCACTGCTGTTAGAGTCAATTCCAACTCAGCGACCCTATAGGACAGATTAGAACTGCCCAGTAGGGTTTCCAAGGCTGTAAGTCTTTACGGAAGAAGACTGCCACATCTTTCTCCTGCGGAGTGGATGCCGCTGACTCTTCGGTTAGCCAGATGCTTTAACCACTCCACCAGCAGGGCTCCTAGTTCAGAGCACTAGGATGCTATTCCTGGCTCCTCTGAGTTTCCATCGGAAATAGGTTTCTCAAAAAAGCTTGTCTATTTTCCCAGTATCCCTAGCCCTTAGGACATTGTTGGAGCAAGCTCTCAATGTTTGATGAGGGAGTCCATTAATACCTGTTGGGTTTCTTATGAGGTATTTTTTTCCCAGAAGTAGTAAGTGCACTTCGTACTATAATAGAGTAAATGCTTGTTCTTTAATGGAGAACATTTTTTGTTGCTAAAGGATTTTCTGTAGTTCTGTATAACAGAACACCATGAAAATTTAATCATTAAATGTTCAGGAAAAGTTTTTTTCTATTAGAAAAATTTAATAAAGACTTCCACAAGCTGAAAGAAGTGTGAAGTCCTATGCTTCAGTGGAATATAGAAACTAGAATTTGCATGCAAATAAACTCTTCATTGGTCTGAACTTTGTTTTAACTGCCGATTTTTTTATTGCAAACAATTGAGATAGAACTGGAAACAAAGGTCAGTCTCACTGGCGTTTTACGTTCTGGTTAGACTATCACCAAGGACAAGCATTAACAATTACTCGGCTAGAAGTAAGACTTGTTAGCTATTGACTCTGTTCCTAACATCTACCTGATCCTCTGCAAAAATACTAATCTGATTAGTTTTGGTATAAACTGTTAAATTGAGTTTCTCCAGTGTGCATAAACCTTGCACTGAGGGCAATGGGGTGCATCATTTGTAAAATAAGCAACAAATTAAACAATTTGCCTCACTAGTCTGAAGTAGGAGCAAATAATGGAGTTCAAAATGGTTCAGTGTATGTAAAAATACTGTCTTACAAATTTACTGAGTATTTAGAACAGGCAAGATGACAACATATGTACTATATAACCAAAATTTAATATTTAAAAGGCTTAAAAAGCTTTTAATAAAAAAAAGGTGGAGAATACATTACTGCTTGATAACTACACTGGTGAAGTAGATTTTATTGGCAAAAATGATCTGAACATTTACTTAATGCATGTTAGCTGTTATAAGGGAAGTGCATGGTTCATTCTTTGGTCAGTGAAGTGAAAAACCTGAAAGTCAAAAACATAAAGTGGAAATATTTAGACCAATCATTTTGGGTAAAAGAGGTCTGATAAATTAGTCTTTCATTGTATTAATCCTCTTAGTGTCACCGTTTACCTGTTGACTTTGCAAAAAGTTCCTTTTTCAGC